CAAAAAAGATGACGTGCTTATTGAACTGCTACAGGTACGATAGAAATTATTATCATTTGGAATGTCTACAACCTACTACAGATGTGGATAAACCAAAATCGGCATGACCATGTAGATCATCATGAAACCGCCGTTTCTAGTGTGGCAAAACCATTTGATGAGCAACAGGGCGGTGAAAAGTTGAGTTTCAAAATAAAAAGGAATACGTTAAAAAATTAAATATTCATGCTGTTATCTAGTGCAGTTGTTCTCCGGCAGATGGGTCTTAGTTAAATTTCGAACTTTAATTTTGTTTGATTACTGTAAAAAAAATAAAAAAAGTAAAACATATGAATTTTAATTTGTACCAAAATGTAAATTGATTATATTCTTTCAACAGTAAGTTCACGATTTGGTAGTGGACTATACCTATCACCTATCTATAAGATATATAATTATATGAAAATAATATTATGTAATATATAAAAACATATCTATATAATATTATTATAATTTAAATGATAATTATTTAGTCAGTGTATTATTTACATAAAAATAATAATAAATGTCATACTAAGTAATCATGTAGGTAATGACTACTGTTTAACGTAAGCATGGCTACCATGGTAAAGCTGTGACGACGCTCGATGTTTGACAAAAATCGAAATTTTTATATAATACAGCCAATATAGGTACATATTAATATAAAATATTATGTACCTACTCATTATGGTGCAAATTAGAAACAAATTCAGTAAACATCTGCAGATGGTAATAAATCTAGTTTACTATTTATATTTGCATTAGTAGTTTGTAAAAATTAGTACTCGAATCTGGGTATAATTTGTAAGGCCATAACAGTCATATTGAAAAACAGTATTAAAGTTGGGTCGTTCTAGTTAATTATAGCTGGTGATAAGAAAAATACAAATATATAATCACATATTATAGTATTATGCTATGCCACAATTAGCTAGTATAAAAATATACAAATCGGCAAGCCTACTTTTTTTCTATATATTATTCAGATTGTCTATTTAAACATCCACTATTGATTGTTTAGTTATCTACTGAACAATACATTCCAATTTTTCAAAAGTTTATCAGCTAAATTTGTCAATTAAAAATTCCAAATAAATGGTTTGTACCGGATCGTAAGTCGGGATACTTTAGTGTAAGTTACTTTGTTTAGAGCTTCAAAGGTACTGAGACCACAGTGAGGAAAAATATCTGTGTATAGTTTTTAAATTAAAAGTAGGTAATTATTTAAAAGAGTTAATCCACACTAATATAATATAATTCGGTGGTATTATAATAATAAATTACTACACATTTATTTAAAAAAAATTGCGAATTCAACAACACCCGAGCCCTAGTAATAAACTAATAACTTATTTATGGCAATAATTATGTTCTTGAGAATCGTGCTGATTTGTATGTTTATAAATACATCGTATTAGTAATTATTAATATTGTTGTGATTACAATACGGTCGTATGCCGCGGTATAGTATATGGTTTACCTCTATGTAGTATACCTGACCACAGTTACATGAATTTATCAATCGCCTTGAAGATTCTGCTTAACAGGACAGGATTTAAATTCAACTATATTTTTAATTTCTCAGGCCAGTCTTCGTGACACGATTATTCGAAAATTAAAACTAGGTTTTAAATCCATCAATAAATATAATTAGCATTGCATCTGAGGTGTTATTTTGAAACGTATTCAACAGATAAATTCTTAAAAAACCACCAAGTAGTCGTAAGGTATTACGTTTTTACGAAACACCGTGACGGCCAGCTCAATATAATATTCTTTATACAACGATAATTGGTGGCCCTGAAAAGGGCCGTTTTATTTGTATATTAATCACGTCAAGTGGGTTTTATTTGGAGCTGGTGTACTTGGTCACAGCTTTGGTGCCTTCACTGACGGCGTGCTTGGCCAATTCACCGGGCAACAAGAGTCGGACGGCAGTTTGGATCTCCCGGCTGGTAATGGTCGAACGCTTGTTGTAGTGGGCAAGACGACTGGACTCGGCGGCGATGCGCTCGAACAGATCGTTGACGAAACTGTTCATGATGCTCATGGCTTTGGATGACACGCCGGTGTCGGGATGCACTTGCTTCAGCACCTTGTAGATGTAGATGGCGTACGATTCTYTCCTCTTGGGCTTGCGCTTCTTATCGGACTTGGCGATGTTTTTTTGTGCTTTTCCTGAAGACTTCTTCATCGCTTTGCCCGCCGATTTTCCTCCTGGAGCCATTCTTAGAGTTTGAATGATACTACAGTAGACGATTGGAACGCTGATGACTGAATGACGAAAAATCGACCGTACGGTAGTATATAAGACCAAACTAAAGTGATATGTCGTTTTTTTATTGGAGGAAATATTATAACTATGTCAAGTAAAAATAGG